TATACTAATAAAAAATAAAATTAGATAAATACTTTATTAGATAGCTAATTAAAAATTATATTAAAACCGCTGGAACCTATATACGCTATAGAATGGAAAAAAAAAAAACTAAAAAAAAAAAAAGGGACCAATAACTAAAAAATATAAAATAAATTTATATAAATATTATCACCATTCTACATGAATAAAAAATTTTAAGATACATTTTAAAAAATAAATAAAAAAAACTCCATGCAGACACACCTATGCCATGAGTTTACATGATGCACAATATCCAATATATTCCCTTAAAATAATTGGTACGCAACTTCCGGTGACACACTTCCAGGTGCGTGGTGGCCATCTTGGTACACCTTACAAACCATGCAGTGCACCCATATGCATGAGGTTCAAGAGTCTGTGTATTGTGGATTACATGTGAGTGTAAATTTTGTTTCTTATAACATTTTATTAATTAAAAAAACATTACTGCACCATGGAGGAATCTTTTTGTTTCATCAATATGATCCTGAGTGGGGGTGGGCTATATTGCGGTACCTGTGCCAGGAGGGAGCTGAGTGGTGGTACACAAGGGAACTTGTGTGGCGTTCATCTCCTGGGACCAGTTTACATCAATTAGGAACGGGAGGTGATCCTTAAAAGCGTGCTGGCCCTTGGTGGTGGTCACGATTTGGAGGTGAGGGGCCATTTTGTACATTTCTGAGGAGTTTGTTCACCAGAGTGGAGATCACTGTTTTTTCACGGCATCACTTGCATGAAATATGTGAAGATCCCGACCATATTTATATTTATATTTTTTTTGGACATTATTTTATACATTTGTGTGTAAATTTTATGAGGAATTATATGCTTTAAATGGAATTTTATGTCACTCAACGCTGTTATTAATTGTTCCCAACAAGGGATTCACTTGATACACTATTTGCGTAGTCCCAGTATTGGGACTGGAGGGGGATTTCTATATAAATTTATAGTGTATTTTTTAGAAGTCACGTTATTTAATATAACGGGATTCCTGTTTTCACTATTTCACACGTTTGGCCACGATTGGATATAGATTGTATCTGAGCACTGTGTGGATCATATATATTGTTTTATAGAGTGTGTTATTTAGTTCATTGTTGAGCGCTTCACCAATTTTTAGTTTATTGATTTTTTTCACGCCTATTGGGTCAGGTTGGGTGAGAGCAGCTTTATTTAAGGGTTCCGTATAAGCACAAGAGGTGTGTGTGTGTGTGTGTGTGTATGTGTATGTATGTGTGTATGTATATATATATATATATATATATATATATATATATATATGTAGCCTCCCAGACCAGTTTTTTTCTCGTCTTTTCATAAATTTTGGAGGGACATCCACTTCTTGGTAATGTTACTGTTGCGCCACATTTGTGCAGAGGGGAATATAAATGCACTCACATTTAGATCTGAAGCAATGGAATTACTCATAAAATCCAGCAGATGGCGACCTCTTATCCATCTATGATGGCAGTAAGCACAGCACCTGGTGGATATCCTTGTCAGCCAGTAGGGGTACACCATTCTCAAGTATAAAACAAAAGTAGGCAAACAGAAAGTTTTTGCCACTCCGAGTGTAGTATTTATCATAATCGATACAAAAAAGTACTAAGTAGTAAAAACTGTGTTGAACTCACATTAGTAATACATAGATGAGCATCATGTACAAATACCAGCAGGTAGCGCCATTTCATGGAATCCAATGGAAGGCACACAAATTATACATCTCCAAAGACCATAGCTGTATCGGTCTGTCAGGAAGTGGAACAAGCCAACTATAGGCTTAAAATCAGGAAGACAAACACTGATAGTGTGCAGTCAGAAGGGAGGCTTCACATACACTATGCTTAAAAAGGGTCCTCTCTCCCTCTATGTGTGTGTGTGTGTGTGTGTGTGTGTGTGTGTGTGTGTGTGTGTATGTGTATATATATGTATGTGTATATATAATATATATTATATATAATCACTGGGATAGGTAGCAACAAACTGGTGTTTAAGCACAGCTGAGTCACCATGTATCACTTCCTTAGGCATCACTAATTTTTACTGAGTGACATATCAGTATGGATGTCACACCACTTCCCAATCTCAGTCTGTCTAAAACGTCCAAAATCCTCCCCTCTTGACTTTACCACTGAGTTCAATACCAGAACTGTTGCTTCCTCCAGGCATGCCATGGTGTTAGGTATAATCCTAGACTCTGACAGCTCCTTTAGGCCCCACAACCAATCACTGGCTAAGTCTTGCAACCTTAACCTCCATAGCATTTCCAAAAATGTGCCCCTTCTTAACCAACGGCACCACAAAACAACTAATTCACTTCCTGGTTATCTCCCGCCATGACTACTGCAACTCTCTTCTCACACGCCTACCTCTACACAGGATATCCCCTCTCCAGTCCATCATGAATGCTGTGGCTAGACTTGTCCACATTACTAAGCTATCTTTGGCTGCTGTCTCACTCTGTCAATCACTCAACTGGCTTACACTAGCCCAATGTAAAAAATTAAAAGCGCTAATGATTATTTCCAGTAAGTTGTGGAAAGAGATGGCGGGCAGACAGAACTCAAAACCCGAAAGGATATTTTTCAACCATTACATAGTCTGGCTGAAAAAAGACAAAAGTCCATCCAGTTCAACCATAGAAAAAAAAAGTTATAATCCTATACCCACAGTTGATCCAGAGAAAGGCGAAAAAAAAAACCCAGCAAAGCATGATCCAATTTGCACCTGCTGGGAAAAAAATTCCTTCCTGATCCTTCGGGAGGCAATCGGATATTCCCTGGATCAACTTTACCTATAAATGTTAGTATCCAGTTATATTCTGGGTATCTAAGAAATAATCCAGGCCTTTTTTGAAGCAATCCACTGAGCTGGCCAGAACCAACTCTTGAGGGAGTCTATTCCACATTTTCACAGCTCTCACTGTGAAGAAACCTTTCCATGTTTGGTGATTAAATTTCTTTTCCTCCAGACGTAAAGAGTGCCCCCTTGTCCTCTGTGTTGACCATTAATCAATACGAAGGATTGGCTCCAGTCAGCACACAATTCCTGGGCTGAGGCTGCTGGTTTGCCACACATGGTGTTGTTTGTAGTTCTGTCATGTTGATCATGTGTGCTTCGGCTTCCCAGTTTCTTCCGCTGCATGCTCTCCACTCCGCTATAGAAACTATACCACTGTCATGTGCGTGGACTTGTTTACCTTTTAATATGTATACCCCCTTAGGATTATCACATTTATCAACCAATTTCCATTTTACTACCAGTCTATGGTTTATTTATTATTGTGACTAGCTATATTTGTGCTTTTCCTTAACTTTTGCTTTAGTATAGGCCAGCCTGTAATGTGACCATTGGGCAATGGACTCTGCTGTTAGTGCATTCAAGGCACCTGATAATCTGTTAGCTGCAGAGTGCTTCTCACTGCCATTCTGTCTATTCTTATAGTGGAGATTTTCCCCTCGCCCCCTGTCAATACAGACAAAATTTTAAAGCTTTTTTTTTTTTTTTTTTTTTTTTTTTTGAGAAGGGTTAGAATTTGTATTGCTGCCCATGTCTGCCTTTACCTCTCACAACTCCCTCATTACTTTTGTGGGCATAAAAAGTGACAGACAGTGATAGAAAACCTCCACAATGTGGTCAGTACTCTACAGTTCTGCAGCTAGAAGACAGTTTATACAAAGGAAATAGTGGAAGTGATACAAAAAAAACAAATTTACCCTTCCCTACTTCTTCCTTACATCATATTTTTTTCAATAATAATGGATCACATTTTGTACAAGGCAGCAACTGTAAACAATCTCATTCAAATTTGTGTGTAAACCTACAGCCACCGCAACTGTAGTGATATCGAACAGATATTAAATCATTGTATTTGGTAATAGATATGATTTTGTCACCAGCATTAACATTTCACCATTTTTTCTGTTTGTATTCTTCTGTTACAGAGTTTGCCCTAGAAGAATTGTGCCCTCCTGACATTGAAGCAGAGGATGAAAATATGGACTGCACCTGATACTAATCAAATTACTCATCTGCACAACCAATTTATTAGTGTCAACATGGCATATTTTAAGCATTTCACAATAAGATTATTAACCTGATCTTAAAGACTGTAGACATGGCCTAAAATGTATTTTTTCATAATGGCACACATTAAATACTGTAACTTTTAAACATTAAACCTAATATTTAAATACAAAACTTTTCTTGTAATATAGTGTGATGTGTTTGGGGCTTTGACATGTGATGCTTCTAGTAGCATATGTTTTAATACAGGCCATATGTGCTTTGAAGTTACTATTTCTTGAAAGAAATATTCCTTAAAAAAGCCTATCGGCTGCAACACTGATCAAACTAAAGTTCCTCAGCAAGTTTGTTTGTGAGAAGCCAATAAATAGATTGTACTCAAACAGGACTGCCCATAGATGCATCGAAATTCATCTGGTCTCCGCCGAAATGGCCAAATTTCAATCCATTTTCAGTTCAATCTATGGCCAGTTTTAAAAATCTGACATGCCAGCCAGTGAAGTCTGAAGTCTTCTAATACTTGGACCTGGTGAGTGTCTTACCAGATAGTAAAACCAAGATCAGAATGACAGCCCTGGATCCTGCACCTTTAACCTCCCTAGCGGTCTGATTATGTCCATATTTCTGTGCTGAAAGCGGTACATTTTTTTTTGCATGGCAATATGTCGTTTTTTTATTGTAGGCCTGTAATTTCTAGGAATAACTCACTGAAATCTGTACGAACAAGAGTCTAGTAAACATTCCGGGTAGGATAAAACTTGAAACACAAAATCATAAATTATAATTTAATAAATAATCATAAAAAATGATAATATAATAAATGTAATTCAATAATATAATCAAACCAAAAACACTGACATTTGAAATATAGCACCAAGTTCGCACATAGCTGAGCAAAGTCGCAGAATCGTTTTCAGCGTCTGATGATGAATTTCCCCACGAATCATCACTCAATTCTGGAAGTGGTTCTGATTTACTATCGCTGTTCTCTAGCTGGTCTAAAACCGCTTTTGACCTAAAGTAATGCTTTTTGGACGCCATGGACTTTTCTAAGTTTCCAGGCAGAAAGTACAGTCAAAATGCAGGCAGGGCACAGGACAAAGCAGTAGGGACAAAATGTATGTGAAATGCTTTGAAACAGTAATGTTTTACTATGTCATATTAGTTTATTAGAAAATGACCGTTTCTAAAATGTTTAAATTTGCCACACTGGTTCCGGCCCCTTTGTACGTCCCGACGCTCGCAGGGACCGGAACACGGATGCCGGCATCGGCCGGAGGAGATGGCTGGAGACGCTGCAGGGGACGCATCGCGGGAGCGAAGGACAAGGTAAGCGTTGCAGGGAATCCCTGAGCAATGCCGCATGGTAAGCCCGAGTGTAGCTCGGGGATACCGCTTTTGGTACTGAAATTTTACCCCGAGCTACACCCGGGAATACCGCCAAGGAGGTTAAACATACTTAATATTAATAGCAATGTCAGTTCTCTATCACTTTAACCATTACTAATTTTTTCTGTAAGGTATTTTATCTTCGTTCTCTGCTAAAAAGCAGATAGGAGCTTTTAACCAGAGACAGGTGTGTTAAAGTAGTATACCATTTCACCTTTTCTGTCAGTGAGCAATAATCAGTATTCAACATCAGACATCAGTGCATTCACTAGCACATGGGCCTCAAAATGAAACCCAAACCTGGCTTGAGAAATGTGTGTCCTCTATACATCCAAAATTCCAAATACATCACTTATATAAATCCAAGACAGCACATGAAAGAGATGGGTGCCTCCAGGTACAGGGGAGACATTCTAAAAAAAAAAAAAAATTTAAAATGAGGTCCCTCTGCTGAACTGGTCAATATCCGTGTTTCCTGTTATAGAAAGGAAACTTTCTGCTGCAACTGTGGATTGGTGGAAGAAGCTTTAGGGCTGTTCCCCTCTATCTTTCTTTATATATTGGCTGCTTTTCTCCATGGTTGGGGTGGTAAAACAGAATCCTCTCTTTATCCTTTAGACCCCCTGAGCCACTTTCCTGACAGGTGAGCCTCCTAACTCCGCTCCATGATCCTGGGTATCCAGGCTCAGCCACCTTGGGAGTTGCAGGTCCCTTGACTCAATCCTGCATTTAGCACTGCGACTCCTTGACTGGTGACACAAAGCGTCACTTCTGGTATGGACAGGGACTGGCATTGGGCCTTGAGTTCCAGCCCACTGAACATGAGGGGAGGGAGAGAGCGTCTGGCTGACCACTTTCAGTTTTGGGCTCTTTAAGCATCGTTGTGCCCTCTGCATCAAGTGTCTGAGGAGACGGCGTCATCGGTTACAGGCACCAGTGGCACCAGCATTGTTTAACTAAGTGGAAGGCTTCACGTATTTTTTCTGGTTACCAATTTTGCATGTTTGTGGTTTAACCTCACACCATTTTTTTTCAGTTGGACTCTTGGTCCTCTTCAGTTTCTAAAAAGAGCCTTGTTTCCACTACCTCTACTTAAAAGATTGTGGAAACAGTGGATTTTTGTTGATTCTTTCAGTGACCATAAAGCCTCTTTCACACAGGCAATCCAATCAGGTCTGCCTGTCAGTTTTTCAGGCACACCTGACCAGATGGTCCATGTATCCATATGGACTAGCGAGTGTAAATTGACTTGTGTCCATTTATATCAGCCTGCCTGCGATTTGGTCTGGAATGGGATCCGCCTCCCTTCATCTAGGTGGATCGGAGAGGGCAGTCTAGTGTAAACAGACAGCTGGTCCACTCCAAAGAAATATTTTCCCATTATATTGAGGCCTGTTAAGGTGGGTTTTCATAAACAATCTCATCCTACTTTGAGGGCCCTATTAGCTGGAGGCTATGACCTTCTCTCACTTTGAAATGGGCTGCATAAGGCCACTTTGCGGCTATGTAAGGTTACATGCAGATTTCCTTGCTATCAGCCTGCACTGTAATAAAATTCTATTAGTTTTAGTATGTCTGCAGCTCTAGCACAGGTCTGTTTCCTTAGACCTAAGATGTTATATTTTTTTCGACGTTTTATCTGAAGTAATCTTTTGTTTTGCTTTCCATAACTTTATACAGCGGGTGTCACACTATACATGTGGCTTGTATGCTTACATCCTTGCCACTATCTGATTTGTTTTTTTTTTTTTGGATATCAGAGTTTTATATGCATCTTGCTGCTCTGTGAAATCTCTGCTTTACTACCAGCTGTTGCTTCTAGGGATGCTCTAGGAAATAGATGGCTCACAGGTTAATAACCAGTTACTGGGTTAAACGCATGTTACAGCTCAGACCTCTTATATGATTTTCAGGGCCTCTGTCTGTTCATAAGCCTTATGTGTACTGTCTATACTTCACTTTAGGTATTATATTTCAGATTGGTAGTTATCCTTTATTTGATTACCACCACAACTTTGACTTCCTCTTTTCTACTATATATCTTTAGTAATGGTATCTACATATATTACCGTGAGATCAGGTTTTTATTAGATTGATGTGTTAGGTAGCCCACATCCAGGGAGTGCCAAACACTTCTGATTGTTTTGACAGCGCGCCTGTGACACACATATACAGTTGTGCTCAAAAGTTTGCATATCCTTGGAGGATAGGTAATATACAATATGTACCATTTTTAAAGAAAACATGAGTGAGCTGGCAAAACACCTTACTTTTATATCTTAACGGGTTTAATTTTCAACTGTAGGTCATGGCACATGTACAGAATGGCACAATCATAAAACAAATAATGGCAACAAGTAAACAAATGAAATGGCTCTGTTCAAAAGTCCACATATCCTTAGTTTTTAATACTGTCTATTGCCCCCTTTTAGCATCAATGACAGTGTGCAATCTTTTGGAATAGTTATCTATGAGGCCCCAAATTCGTGCAGGTGGTATAGCTGCTCATTCGTCTTGGCAAAATGCCTCCAGATCATGCAAAGTCTTTGGTCTTCTTGCAGGAACCACACGTTTGAGATCTCCCCAGAGTGGCTTAATGATATTACGGTCAGGAGACTGTGATGGCCACTCCAGGACCTTCACCTTTTTCTGTTGTAACCACTGGAGGGTCTACTTTGGAGTTGTGCTTAGGGTCATTGTTTGTTGGAAAGTCCAAGAGTATCCCATGTGCAGCTTTTGTGCAGAAGAATGCAAATCATCGGACAGTATTTTCTGATAATGTGCTGCATTCAGCTTGCCATCAATTTTCACAAAGATTCCTGTGCCTTTAGAGCTCACACACCCCCCAAAACATCAGTGAGCCACCACAATGTGCTTCACAATGGGGTTGGTAATCTTGTCACTATAGGCCTTGTTGATCCCTCTCCAAGCTTTATTTTGGTCTCGTCACTCCAGATTACTGTGCCAGAAGTTGTGAGGCATGTCAAGGTTTTGTCGGGCAAATTGTTACCAAGCTTTTTTGTGCCATTGGTGCAGTAAAGGCTTCTTTCTGGCAGCTCGACCATGCAGCTCATTTTTTTTCAAGTTTCGTCTTACTGTGCTCCTTAAACTACTACACCATTTTTTTCCAGAGAAGCCTGTATTTCTCCTGAGGTTACCTGTGGGTTTTTCATTGTATCCCGAACAATTATTCTGGCAGTTGTGGCAGCAGTCTTTCTTGGTCTACCTGACCTTGGCTTGGGATCAAGAGATCCTTGAATTTTCCACTAAGTGGTTGAACAGTACTGACTGGCATATTCAAGGCTTTTTATAGCCTTTTCCATCATTAGAAAATGCAATTACCTTGTTAAGCAGATCTTTTGACAGTTCTTTTCTTCTCTCCATGGCTCAGTATCTATCCTGCTCAGTGCATCCACATGATCCATCCACTAATTTCAATTTAAAATGCCACAGATGAGGGAAATTAACCATTGTAATCTGTGTGTATCTGTACCAAGGCCTAACATTCCAGGGTACAGTGGGGCAAAAAAGTATTTAGTCAGCCACCAATTGTGCAAGTTCTCCCACTTAAAAACATGAGAGAGGCCTGTAATTGGCATCATAGGTAGACCTCAACTATGAGAGACAAAATGAGAAAAAAAAATCCAGACAATCACATTGCTTTGGAAAGAATTTATTTGCAAATTATGGTGGAAAATAAGTATTTGGTCACCTACAAACAAGCAAGATTTCTAGCTCTCACAGACCTGTACCTTCTTCTTTAAGAGGCTCCTCTGTCCTGTACTCATTACCTGTATCAATGGCACCTGTTTGAGGTTGTGGACAGGTGTCTTTTATACTGACAACAAGTTCAAACAGTCACACTCCAAACTCCACTATGGTGAAGACCGAAGAGCTGTCGAAGGACAACAGAAACAAAATTGTAGACCTGCACCAGGCTGGGAAGACTGAATCTGCAATAGGCAAGCAGCTTGGTGTGAACAAAACAACTGTGGGAGCAATAATTAGAAAATGGAAGACATACAAGACCACTGATAATCTCCCTCGATCTGGGGCTCCACGCAAGATCTCACCCCGTGGGGTCAAAATGATCACAAGAACGGTGAGCAAAAATCCAAGGACCACACGGGGGGACCTAGTGAATGACCTGCAGAGAGCTGGGACCAACGTAACAAAGGCTACCATCAGTAACACACTACACCGCCAGGGACTCAGATCCTGCAGTGCCAGACGTGTCCCCCTACTTAAGCCAGTACATGTCCGGGCCCGTCTGAAGTTTGCTAGAGAGCATATGGATGATCCAGAAGAGGATTGGGAGAATGTCATATGGTCAGATGAAACCAAAATAGAACTGTTTGGTAGAAACACAACTCATCGTATTTGGAGGAGAGAAAATGCTGAGTTGCATCCAAAGAACACCATATCTACTGTGAAGCATGGGGGTGGCAACATCATGCTTTGGGGCTGTTTCTCCATAAAGGGACCAGGATGACTGATCCATGTACAGGACAGAATGAATGGGGCCATGTATCGTGAGATTTTGAGTGAAAACCTCCTTCCATCAGCAAGGGCATTGAAGATGAAACGTGGCTGGGTCTTCCAACATGACAATGATCCCAAACATACCACCCGGGCAATGGAGTGGCTTCGTAAGAAGCATTTCAAGGTCCCGGAGTGGCCTAGCCAGTCTCCAGATCTCAACCCCATAGAAAACCTTTGGAGGGAGTTGAAAGTCCGTGTTGCCCAGCGACAGCCCCAAAACCTCACTGCTCTAGAGGAGATCTGCATGGAGGAATGGGCCAACATACCAGCAACAGTGTGTGCCAGCCTTGTGAAGACTTACAGGAAACGTTTGACCTCTGTCATTGCCAACAAAGGATATATAACAAAGTATTGAGATGAACTTTTGATATTGAGCAAATACCGTATTTTTCGCTCCATAAGACGCACCTGACCATAAGACGCACCTAGGTTTTAGAGGCGAAAAAAAACAAGAAAAAAAAATATTCTGAACCAATGGACTGCAGACATAGTACAGGGAATGACCAGAGACTGCGGACACAGTACAGGAGATGACCAGAGACTGCGGACACCGTACAGGAGATGACCAGAGACTGCGGACACAGTACAGGAGATGACCAGAGACTGCGGACACACTACAGGGGGTGACCAGAGACTGCGGACACACTACAGGAGATGACCAGAGACTGCGGACACACTACAAGAGATGACCAGAGACTGCGGACACACTACAGGAGATGACCAGAGACTGCGGACACACTACAGGAGATGACCAGAGACTGCGGACACACTACAGGAGATGACCAGAGACTGCGGACACAGTACAGGAGATGACCAGAGACTGCGGACACAGTACAGGAGATGACCAGAGACTGCGGACACAGTACAGGAGATGACCAGAGACTGCGGACACAGTACAGGAGATGACCAGAGACTGCGGACACAGTACAGGAGATGACCAGAGACTGCGGACACACTACAGGAGATGACCAGAGACTGCGGACACACTACAGGAGATGACCAGAGACTGCGGACACACTACAGCAGATGACCAGAGACTGCGGACACACTACAGGAGATGACCAGAGACTGCGGACACACTACAGGAGATGACCAGAGACTGCGGACACACTACAGGAGATGACCAGAGACTGCGGACACAGTACAGGAGATGACCAGAGACTGCGGACACAGTACAGGAGATGACCAGAGACTGCGGACACAGTACAGGGGATGACCAGAGACTGCGGACACAGTACAGGGGATGACCAGAGACTGCGGACACAGTACAGGGGATGACCAGAGACTGCGGACACAGTACAGGAGATGACCAGAGACTGCTGACACAGTACAGGGATGGTCAGAGACTGCAGACAAACTAGAGGAGACAGTCAGAGACTGCGGACACAGTACAGGGCATGACCAGAGGCTGCGGACACAGTACAGGGGATGACCAGAGACTGCGGACACAGTACAGGAGATGACCAGAGACTGCTGACACAGTACAGGGATGGTCAGAGACTGCAGACAAACTAGAGGAGACAGTCAGAGACTGCGGACACAGTACAGGGCATGACCAGAGGCTGCGGACACAGTACAGGGCATGACCAGAGGCTGCGGACACACTACAGGGCATGACCAGAGGCTGCGGACACAGTACAGGAGATGACCAGAGACTGCGGACACAGTACAGGGGATGACCAGAGACTGCGGACACAGTACAGGAGATGACCAGAGACTGCTGACACAGTACAGGGATGGTCAGAGACTGCAGACAAACTAGAGGAGACAGTCAGAGACTGCGGACACAGTACAGGGCATGACCAGAGGCTGCGGACACAGTACAGGGCATGACCAGAGGCTGCGGACACAGTACAGGGCATGACCAGAGGCTGCGGACACAGTACAGGAGATGACCAGAGACTGCGGACACAGTACAGGGGATGACCAGAGACTGCGGACACAGTACAGGAGATGATCAGAGACTGCGGACACAGTACAGGAGATGACCAGAGACTGCGGACATATTACAGGAGATGACCAGAGACTGTGGACATAGTACAGGGAAAATACCAGGGACACAGTACAGATGACCAGAGACTGCAGACAGTGCAGGGAATAACCAGAGACTGCAGACAGTATAGGGGATGACTAGAGACTGCTGACCTTTGGGGAGGGAGGGGGAGCGGGTACCTGAATTTGACAGGTACCCGCTCCCACTTCCGCGGCGTTGTCTTTCCCTCTTCTAACCGCGCCGGCTTCTGTGACAGCCAGGTGCCCACTGCGCATGCGCGCGAGAAGCGCTGCACTTTGTGAATGGCCCGGCGCCTTCTGGGACCTGTCATGTGTCCCAGAAAACACTGGACCATTCACAAAACGCAGCGCATGTGCACTGGGCACCCGGCTGTCACGGAAGCCAGCGCGGGGGAAGACTGTGCAGCGCTGGAGCGAGGAACAGGTAAGGCCCTGCAGGAGAGAACAGCTGAGCGGCCGGCCCGGTATTCTGACATGGTGGCGGCAGAAATACCGGACCGTCCGCTTTATATTCGCTCCATAAGACACACTGATGTTTTCCCCCCTTTTTTGGGGGGAAAAAAGTGCGTCTTATGGAGCGAAAAAATACGGTACTTATTTTCCACCATAATTTGCAAATAAATTCTTTCCAAATCAGCCAATGTGATTGTCTGGATTTTTTTTCTCATTTTGTCTCTCATAGTTGAGGTCTACCTATGATGCCAATTACAGGCCTCTCATCTTTTTAAGATGGTGGCTGACTAAATACTTTTTTGCCCCACTGTATATAAGCTTCATATGATCACTGTCCTTAAATAAAAGACAGTTTTTTTGGCATTATCACGCAGTTCCAATATCCATACCAACATTTTAAGATTTCAGCCAGAGTATGCAAACTTTTGAGCACAAGTATGTGTGTGTGTGTATATATATTTTTATTTTTTTTGGGGGGGGGGTACTCTCTTCCAGTCATCTCGCATGTGAGCGTTTTGGTGTACGATTTTATACTATAGTTCCCTTGAGGACACATGAGGCAGCTCTTTGAGATTAGACCTTGTTATAAAGTGCTCTCTTAATGAAAATTTACAATACAGTGGAATTTCATTATGCATGGCATTCAGAGGGTATTGCGGAAGCAGATGGACTTCATGAAAAAAGGCATCATGATGTGGCTTTTTGAAGCTCAGTATTCGTATTATCTTCTGGGCCTCATACATCATTGTGTGCAGTTGGATACTATCTAATATAATAATTTAAAATAAAATATATTTGCAGCTCAAGTTGTAAAATTTTGCAGCTAATTATTGTTACAATGCTATGTCCCTCTGATACAGTGCCTTGAAAAAGTATTCATACCCCTTGAAATGTTCCACATTTTGTCATGTTACAACTAAAAACATAAATGTGTTTGATTGGGATGTTATGTGATGGACCAACACAAAATGGCACATAATTTTGAAGTGGAAGTAAAATGATAAATGATTTTCAAAATGTTTTAAAAATAAATATCTGAAAAGTGTGGCATGCATTTGTATTCAGCCCCCTTTACTCTGATACCCCTAACTAAAATCTAGTGGAACCAATTGCCTTTGGAAGTCACCTAGTTTGTAAATAGAATCCACCTGTGCAATGTAATCTCAGTATAAATACAGCTGTTCTGCGAAGCCGTCAGAGGTTTGTTAGAGAACATTAGTGAACAAACAGCATCATGAAGGCCAAGGAACACAAGACAGGTCAGGAATAAAGTTGTGGAGAAGTTAAAGCAGGGTTTTCCAATTTCCAAACGCGTCAAGGGAAGTGACATCAGACGCACATGGAGGAACCGGAAGTGGCGGAGAGGCCATTTTAGAAATTGGAAAATCCCTACCAAACACTCCTGGAAGCTGCTCGGACTACACAGAGGTTTGGAGTCATGGGAATATGGCATTTTTAAAGTTTTGTAAGAGCAATATTAAAGTATATTTTAAAGATTCTATGGGGAATTACACTATATCCTTGCCATATATTATGTATATCGGTGGAGCATGGTTATCATGAGGAGTATGGAGTACTCAGGCTAAACAATCCAGATGACATCTAAGAGTAACACCTTTGAGGCTGTGATGACATCTTAAAGATCATTACTCAAGAAGGCGGTCTTTGGAATACGCATATTATGCCCTAGTGGTATTAAGGCATGTTTTAATAGAATAGTTTTTTGTGAGCCACCAGGAGTTAACTTACTCTATTATTAGTGTTAATTATGTGCTTAAGTGAATATTTATTAAATATTAGATCGCTAGGCACTAATTACACCCTCTCTAGGTGTATAAATATAAACTATGAATTCTTGTACTGTACCGCGCTCCAATATTATCAACCTTTGTGATTGACCTTTTTTTGATTGTGTGAATTTCTTAATATACCACCTATAATCCAATCATTACTTACTTCTATGGTGCTTAAATATACAATTAACATAAATTCATTTATAAATGTGAATTAAAAAATTATATGTGATTATAACAAATATTAATAAAAAATTAATGAAAAATTGGAATGTCAATTCTATGTGAATAAAATTAATAAAAAATTAATAAAACATTAATAAAAAAATGGGAATGTCAATTATTTTCTTTGAATTTGAGATGGTGTTGTTATTCAATTTAGTTAATGTGATGAGTCTGTGTTCGCAGCTTGAACCTCTCCCTCCTGTCTCCTCTCCTCTCTCCTCAGCTCAGCCTTCTCAATTGTGCTTTCTTCACTGGCTGCTTTGTTTATTCCTCCATATACGGAACATGCAGAGAAGGGAAAAGAAACATAGTGTCTTATCCGGGATATAAGTGATTTATTGCTCTTTGATCTCCCACTCACATTGTGTAAATGTAAATAGAGCTTTGCATACAATGTATCCAGATCATGCTTCAGACAGCCTGGCTGGTGTGTTTGTTTTCAGTAAATATACTCGCCATTCCTCTGTGGATGCGTGATAACGTCGGGAGGGGCGGTGTTGGTTCCTCTGTGGATGCGTGATAACGTCACCGCCCCTCCCCTACGCGTTATGCTACAGGGACTCCTAGCTTCCTCTGGGGGATGTGGTATTAAGGCATGAATACTAAGTCCTTTTGGCAAGGGTATTTACTCACAATATAGAAGTGTACACGGTTATTGACACTTGATGATTGTGCACTATAGTGATTCACCATCACAGTTGTTGCACAACTTCACTTTTTTTTCACATAAGTGGTCACGTGTGATTTAAATTGCACAGTGTATAATGTTTTTGGTTTGTATAAGGATAACGCACTATGTAAATTTTTCTTTTTTTTTTTTTTTGAGGTTCACATTGTTCGTTGGAGCCGGCTGGAAGGCTCATTCACCAGGATTTTATATTGGAATCATTATTTATATGACTTTAATTTTTGGACACGAGTGCATAATTTTGGTTTATTATCGGAATTGACTTTAATTTTGGACACAATTTGCTTAATTAGATATAATTTTTGGATATTTGTGATTTTATTTTCATTATTGTTTTCACAATTGGTGATTTTTAATAAGGTGTAGCATATTGGAGAGATATATACAATTTGGGATACTCCCATCCTGAAGAAGTGGGGAAGACCCAAGAAATGAGTTGACATATGGGATACCCCCAAAAAACTATTGAATGTTGTAAAGGGATATATAACTATAAGGACAGTTTTTTGTTTTGTTTTTTTAACAGAAATGTTTTTGTTGTATTTTTCAATACCGGAGAATTATAAAGATTTACTATGCATCACTCTTCACAGCCAACTAATGTTACAATAATAAGCATTTACAGGACACACGCATCATTTTAGTGCATATTTGGGTACCATGATGGTACCTGATGCAGAGCCCTTTGACACATCTGCAGCTATGCGGGAGTTTTCCTGCACATGCACAAACATGACATATTTTTGGAGCTTTCATAACATCGTCTTTTACGCATGTGCATGAAAGCTGAAGGGTTCTTTGGGGGCTCGAAACCCTGCAGCATATCTGCACAGGCGCAAAATATGGGAAGGGAGCAGGGGGGCGGGAACGTCATTTTCGCCTAGACAAAAAAATTTTTGTGCTGCCATGCAGAGCTTCTGCATTTAAGTTTTTTTTTTTTAAAAGAAAGCCATATCAAATTTGAGAAGGGTGATGGGTGAAGGCAAGGCCAACTTAACTTAGTTTAGAGCAGTGTTTCTCAACCTTTTTCCAGTTGGGGTGCCTTTGAAAAGTATTTGCAGCCACAAGGCAACCCTGTCCAAGGCTTGGTTCATGTTACTGTGTGTCATGGAACGCATGTAAAATCGCACTCATTCCTGACACAAAGATAAATGCTCTGCT